AAAACCCTGCCAGGGTGAAACAACCTTATTAATATTACTTTTATTTATATAACAAAGGTATCACTGATTTTTGTGTTTGTTGTACATTGACATCCTGTCAGTAACAGTACTTCCTGCTGCAGGCTGACAACACTTAGCTGCTGCCCTGCAAATATCAACAAGGTTGTTAGCCTGCTGTGTGCACCCTTTCAGTGTGAGGGCTACCTATCAAAGCCTGCACATGCCTCCTGCATACCTGATAGGCAGCTCAATGTCCAAGTGAAGGAATGCACATAGCATGCGGATAACATTGCTTCTAATTGCAAGGCAGCGGCTTAGTAATGTCAGCCTAAAACTGCAAAACTACTGGCAAGATCTCTAGATAAGAAACTATGAAACAGAATCACAAAAACAAACAAAAAATATATAGTCTGTTAAAAAAACTAAATGCAGTGAGGCATGATGCCAAACATACTGAAACAGTTGCTGAACTGGAAAAAAGTAAATGGTAGAAAAATGCATTTTTATTTGGTCATTATATAAAGTCTAAAATGGAAAAAGATATATTTTCTTTGTATCTGTAAGTACCATTTGGAATGTGCCATTTACTGGGCTCCACATTCCTGCCGACTGCCTTTTAGATTTCATCAGCCCATTGTATAGGCCTCCATTGTAAGATCTGATAATGATCAACTTTCCATTTAAGTATTAAATAATAATGACTCTCAGCACAATAATAATTGTCTGTCATAAAACTCTTATTAATTTTTCCACTTCATGATTTTTGTCCTGAAAATCTAATTTGCTATGACATAGATCACCGCACAAGGAGTCTTTGTGCAAAGCTCATAGCTATCCCTATTTGGGACCCAAGATCCTTCTGTCCTCTTTACCCAGCTGTCCCTCTTTTAGGGACAGGTTTTCAAATCCAATAATTAACACACTGAAATGACAAGTAAATATTATCTGATCGTTTCTCTTCACACTTCACACTTTACTAGCACAAGTACATCTGAAAGAAATGAAATAGTTTCTTTATGCACCATAAATAATGCTCTGCTTGGTGCATCTGGGTGCATTAACCATTTAGCTGACAAGGCCTTTTTTGCGTTTTTTTGCACACTTTATAATCCACATTTCGGCATAAAAATTACTTACAACTCCCAAACATTATATATTTTCTGAAAGTAAAGACCATGTAGAATAAAATGGTGGACGTTGAAAATTTTTATGTCGTACAATATTAGCACAAATCCTTATCAGACCCCAAAATTTATTAAAAAATTGCAGTTAATTAAGGTAATTTTAGTGGGCACAAGTACGATAAAATAACCATTTGTTTTGTAAAATATAAAAGATGAGGTTTTGATGAGTAAATAGATACCCAACATACCCAGGTTACAAATTGTGCGCACCCCTGAAACGGCGACAAAATATGGTACCCCATATTGTCCATAGGCAAAGCTTTAAAAGCCAGTACAGGTCATCAGTTTCGAGATATCTGTTATTATTAGCCCTAGAATTATTGCTCTCATTTTGGCGCATGCGGCGATTCCTAACATGTGTAGCGAGATCATCGTTTTGGCACGTAGGCGCACCCGATGTGTGTTTATGTTAATATGCACGCTATCGCGGGGCAGGGGACTTATTTTTTTATACATTATTTTTACAAACATGCTTATTTTTACGAACATGCTCTGCATGGCAGCCCAGTGTCCAGCTCATTCAAGCCCAGCCCAGCCCAGTGTCCTCGAGGATGCTGGGCTGTCATTGAAGGACAACAACTCCGCCCAGCTATTGTCATTTGCGGGGAGAATGGTTGGCTTTGGCCGACCTTTCTCCCCATTTGGCTGTCACTACGGCTCAGCCGAACCGAAGCATATGCATTTGGCTTGGCTGTGCTGCTCGGCTGCCTTCAGCTGCTGTAGGGGCTATTGTGAAAAGCGACTACAGCAGCCCTTCGGTTCGACTGAACAGAAGGGTCCCGGGGGCCGAAGCGAGCCGAGGGATCATCCAAAGCTACGGCTAGATCCTTCGGCAGGTAAGTGAATAACTCTCTAGTATCAAAGCCCCTGTAAATAAAAAAGTAACCCCTCAGTGTCCCCTAGTAAAAATTTTTAAAGAATAAAATTTTTAAATAAAAAATAGTTTTTCACAATTTGTAAAAATAAAGAAAACAAAAAGTTTTACAAATAAGTTTAATAAAAAAATGATAAGCAAATATAGTGCAGAGGAAGCTATTAAATATAGGAGGCAACATGCCACATTCTAAAATGGTTCCACACTAAAATTGTATTTCACTCCTTGCATTTTGTGATTCCCAAAATAAACTATATAATATACCCTATAAATCAGGACAAATAAAATAATCTATTATGAATTACTTTCTGTTAGCTACACTTATTATGAACACATTATTATT